CTAATGCTCTTAGGATTGTGATACACCTCCTCTATCAGCCTAAGCACCGAATGTTCTACTGCATCCCAATGAGCTTGAAAGAATAGAGTATGAAGACCATCCGGACCTGGTGCTTTTAGTCCTTTCATAGAAAAAATAACCTCCCTGACTTCCTCTCTACTAGGGCAACAATGGATATAGACCTTGTTAAATTCCTCCCAAGCTGCAGACGCTTTAAGGCGTTGTTTGTGGTATTTTGTAGCACGTTGTCTATCCCCACAATTCGGGCATGTAACCCGTGTTTCCTTTTAACATTCTCCTTGTATGTTTGTTTGTGCCACACTGTAGCTTCTTCCTGGAAGCAAGAGCTAGCTTCTGCCCAAGTAGAATCCTTCGCCCACCATCGATTAACCAGTGCATTAAACCCTTCACAAGTTATACAGGAAGCGAGGAAACGAAAAGGCTTATTAATCTCCTCTTCCCTTCTACCTGGACCATCCCACAGAAGGATGAGTCTGCGATCCGAGCTATAAAATGGAAATTGAAGGATATATCTATCCTGAAATGCCATAACCCAGCTCTCATTCGCCACTGCCCTGTCCAGACGCTTAAGGAGTTGGCTTCTTATCCACATGAAGCAAGGGCCCTTAAACCCAATATCTGACAGGTCGCACCTATTGAGACAATCATTGAATTCTCTGGAACTCCCTTGACAAGCTTCACCCCCTCTTTTCTCTTGATCATGGCTGAGAGAGTTGAAGTCGCCTATCACCAACCAAGGCTTTCTAGTACATAGCATAACTTAGAAAGTTCTTCCCACAAAAGTCTCCGACCAGCTCTTCTGGGGCTTCCATACACGAAGGTGACAATCTCCTCACTCCTTTTAGCTACCCAGTTGATGTTAACGTGCATGAAATGGTTGTGAGATGCAAGGAGGTTTACATGCACCTCTGTTTTGTCCTACAGTAGCCAGATGCCCCCTAAGAAACCACAAGCATCTTGCTTCAAATGCCCATCGAACCCCAGCCGAGAAATTCGTCTATCAGCCTTCCATCCACTGATACAAACTTCAGAGAGCACCAGTACCTTGATGTTGTATTTTTTACTTATATCTTTAATAAAGATAGTGAACCCTTTCTTATTGGCCCCCCTGCAATTCCAGGTAAACATACTCATAATAAACAAAATAAACTTAGACTAAAGCTATAAGGACCATCGATCTAATCATTGAAGCAAAGGCCCCCCACCCAGTAGGGTATCATTGACCAAACAGGTGTCCTCACGGTTAGACTGCTCACCATATGACATTAGTTGTAAAGTGTCTATAAGTTGTTTATCCTACAGGCTTTTACCCTTGTCTCCTTTGTCCCCTATTGTGCTTTTGTTAGGTTCCCTTTTGTTGTGATACAAACCCTGCATGTCAACCTCCCTAGATTCTGCAGCTCCTAAAAACTTAACCTCTTTCTGGCTTCTACTTTGAAAAATTCTTTTCCCCAATGCGTCAGCCTTCCCCTTGACCACCTCGTCAGCCCCTTTCCTCATACTCAAGAAGACATATCCACTTCCTTTCTGGTGTGCGCTTCCTACATGGGCTTTTTGGATGATCTTTAGGTCATTTCCCTTATTTTGATAGTCTCTCAATTGTGCAGCCTTAATTTTCTGACCCTGTGACCCTGCACCCGTTTCCATGCACAACTCTACACCACCAATCTCGAGGTCCTCCTCTACCAAGGGTCATCGTCGGAAGCCTTTAGCCGTCCCTGGCGGTCATTTTTCCACCTCCTTCTTTACATCTTTCTTTTTACTGCCACCCAAGCTCCGGAAGCTGGTGGTTTTCTCGTTGGGCTCCCCTCCTCAGACCTGATAGCTTATGTGCATCCTCCTTATTCGTCATGTTCTCCATGACCATTTCTCCCTAGGAACTTTGTTGCTTTCCCTAGTTGTTGCTATTTCTTTGGCATAATCACGGCCTCCATTGCAAGTATCTTCCTATGTCCATAACGACCACAATCAAAGCAGATTAAGTGTAATCCTTCATACCCTACATTCTAGTGTAGGAATTCTTTTTCAAAGAAATCCCACAACTTGAACCTGGAGACAAAACTCCTCCTCAAGTCCACTTCCATGCAAATACACACAAACCTGGCCTTATCTGTGATTTCTCCCTCGGTTCCTTCCACCCTCCTTAGGGAGGTTCTGTCAACCTTAATGGTCTTCCCCAACATATTGCCGATATTCCAGAGGTGTTGCATCGTATAAAATTCAATTGGAAGACAAAGTATACTCAGCCATACCGCTAGTTTACTAATCTCATCGTTGTAGGGGTCAAAGAATGGTGTTTAACGCTGCACAATGACATAGTGACCAGCCACTATCCAAGGCCCTTCATGAAGGACATGAGAATAATCATTTTCATCTTTGAACTTTAGGAGAAGGCATCCGTTGTCCATGTCAGTCAGCACGTACGTATCTAACGGGTTCCAAAGCCTTTGCAAACATGCCATCAGGAACCTGGCAGCCATCTTTTTTCCCATGAGCTTGGTGATGAGATCCTTCTGCCATTTCTTGCAGTCCTCAGTGTGTTGTTTTTTTGAAAATACATAGGTTGGGCAAAGAGGATCATCATCCTCCCCTAGGCCCATCTGGCATGTTGTTATCCTCATCCTCTCTTCGTTGAGGTCACATGTACTCCTCCTCCTCAAGGTTCGTCACAGGTCCATCCTCGTTTAGACAAAGCACCTTGTCTAAGTATGAGACCGGGTTTCGACCTTCGTTAGAGCATCTACTCATATTCTTCCCTCCTTCCTCCTTCGCTCCTTCAGCCTTCCTAACCTTCTGTCCCTCCTCCTCCAAACACATCTCTCTTCCCTCCAACACGCCAATCAAACTGTTCTCAACCGTTCTGATACCGTTAGATTGCTTGTCTCTCTTTTCTCCAGCATCTTCCTCCTCATTGCGAGTGTGTTTCTCCAAGTTCCTCCCATGTTTCTCCTGTCCACGTAAATTAAATTTGGTGTGGACCATTGTCTCTCAAGCTCTAGAGCTCATCCTCCTCCTTTGCCTGTATCCTTCTATGCATAACAGTTGATTTCAGGCCCTATATAACAACTATGACCTAAACCAACACATTTTTAGAGTGCCTGTTCTTCTTATAACGGGATAAACTAGATACCTAAATTTCTAGCCTCCATCTATGTTATTTCCTACCTCTTATCATTTTCCTCTCTTTCTCTAGGTTGCTTCCTCCATCCATTACTGCATACTTCTTGTTTATCTAAAATTTGACATAAATGTTCCTTCTATAACATGTTCAAGTTTTATTTCCCCATTATGCTCTTAGGTCTATAGGGGATTGGCAACCTTAGTCAAAGTCTACTAAGAAATGTCCTTTTGAGTCTTCTAGGAAAAAGATTATGGCTTCGAACTTCTTTAGAACCTTTACAAGAATTCCCTTGTGTCCGTCAATAGGATTTGTCTATTTCTTGCATTTCATTGAAACTCCTCCTTCAGCCTATCCCATGCAGTTTTTGCTATATCCTAAGCCATTATTCTTGTTAAAATATCTTTTGATACAACTGACTAGATGCACTGTTAGGATAGCGAATCCTAAATCGATATCTCAATGTAAAGAACAAGAAGGAAAAGGAAATTCAGAGAGAAAATCAATCGAAATCTGGTTCTGTATATTCAAGTGAGTTCTCCATTCATCCCTATTGTGCCTATATGCCACGTTCCTCTAACCTCCTCCTAACAGAATTCAGCACAAGACACGTAGACTCCTTACAATGACTCATACTTGAGTTCAACAGATAACAACAACCACACTAAGCAATGGCCCATTAACTAATGACAATAATGTATAATATCTCAAATGAAAGTAATACAAGGCTAAGGCTAATGACAACAACTGTGTTGGGCTGACTACATCACATAGTCCTTGGCCCATGTAGGAGCTCCAGCTCTTCTCTTCAACTTGGGCTCATGATTCCTAACATTGCTCCCTCCATCCAAAGGAACCTTGTCCTCAAGGTTCATAGCAGGCAACACAAATTCAGGGTAGTACAGTTGGAGATCAACTTCATCTTCCCAAGTTGAATCTTCAGGTAGAGAATTGGTCCATTGAATCAACCATTGCCTTTTACCCCCTTGCAACTCCAAACCATCTCGAGACATCAAGGTTGTTAAAGGTACCTGAATAGGATGATTACCATTACTGATATCGGGTAAAGGCAGAGCAGCTGTAGTGATGTCACCCTTAAATGGCTTTAATACAGAAATGTGAAATGAAGAATGAATACGACATCCTTCAGGCAATCCCACTTGGTAAGCTACAGGACTCAAGACCCGAATGATAGGAAATGGCCCAAAATATCTCTTGGCAAGCTTCTGGCATTTTGTATTAGCCAAGGTGATTTGCCTATAGGGCTGCAATTTAACTAGCAACAAATCACCAACAGAAAGGGTCACATCTATTCTATGCTTATCACTTTGTGTGTTCATCCGATTCTGAGCACTACACAATTGCTCCTTGAGAAGCTTAAGTAACTCATCTCGGTGGCTTAAAGTAGAGTCAACAGCCTCAACTCGTACAGAACCCTTAAGATAGGGTGGAATCATTGTTGGGACCTTACCATAAAGGGCTTGGAAATGAGTCATTACAATGGTAGAATATGTGGCAGTGTTGTAATGAAACTCAGCCCATCCCAAATACAAGGACCACTTATGATTTTCCTAATGGTAAAAAGCTCTCAAGTATTGCTCCAAATAACGATTGGTGACTTCCGATTGCCCATCAGATTGGGGGTGGTAAGCAATGCTTGTTCTTAAAGTTGTACCACTGCATTTAAACAAGTGAGACCAGAAATGACTCAGAAAAATGGAATCTCGATCAGATACAATAGTTCTAGGGAAACCATGCAATTTTACCACCATGTCACAAAAAAGAGAGGCTACTTTTGCAGTTGTATAAGGGTTGGCCAAGGCACCAAAGTGGGCAAATTTAGTCAAACAATCAACCACTACTAAGATGACATTAAATCCCTTAGATGTTGGAAGACCTGTAATAAATTCATGCTTAAATCCTCAAATACCCCATCAGGTATAGGCAGTGGCTGAAGCAATCCGAGAGGTGGTGAGGTAGAAGTCTTAATCATTTGACAAGTTGAGCAGCTCTTGACAAATTCATGTACATCTTTCCTCATACCCTTCCAATGAAATGACGCAGAAAACCTCAAAAAGGTTCGAGCAATCCCAGCATGGCCTCCTATCAATGTGGAATGAGCTTCCTCCATAAGCATGTCCTTCAAAGCAGAATTGGTGCCCAAATAATATCGATTTTTATGGTATAAGATACCATCTCTATCGAAAATTTCTGGATCCGGCAACTCATTTTGCTGCAACTTCAGTCGAATATTAATTAAGTCAGCATCAGTTTTATTTTCCCCACGTATTTGATCAACAACAGAAAAAGTAACTTCTGATATTAAAGCCAAGTTGATTCCTGCTTGCTCATCCTCACAGTGCTCATCGTCACAGCATCTGGATAAGGAATCCGCAACAATGTTGGTAGCTCCTAGCTTGTATTCAATGGAGAAATCATACCCCATTAATTTGCAAGCATATTTTTGTTGTTCCACTGTTTGTACCGTTTGAGTTAAAAGCTCCTTTAAACTCTTGTGATCGGTACGAATGATGAATTTAGAGCCTAACAAATAATGCCGCCACTTCTTAACTGCTTCAGTTAAGGCATACAACTCTCTAACATAAGTTGATGCCACTCTCATTCTCGGCCCAAGTTTTTTGCTAAAGAAAGCAATAGGATGATTCAGCTGGTAGAGAACAGCCCCTATGCCCACTGATGAAGCATCAGTATCCACTACAAAAGGTAATGAGAAGTCAGGAAGGGACAATACAGGAGTGCCTGACATAACATCCTTTAAAACCTCAAAGGCCTTGGCAGCTTCATCAGTCCAAAAGAAGGAGTCCTTCTTCAACATATCAGTTAATGGTGAAGCAAGAGCAACATAGTTTCGGATGAATCTCCGATAGTACCCCGTGAGGCCAATAAAACCCCTCAACTGCTTAATTGTCTTCGGCTGTGGCCATTGTCTCATGGCATCAATCTTCTTGGGTTCAGCCTTAACACCCTCTCCAGAAACTAAGTGGCCTAAATATTCCACTTCAGCTAGTGCAAACCCACACTTACTAAGCTTCACCATAAACAAGTTCTCCTGCAAACAGGTCAAAGTTAATACAAGATGATTATAATGATCCTCCATAGAACTATTATAAATGAGGATATCATCGAAAAAAACTATAATGAACTTCCTAAGAAATGGCCTAAACATATGGTTCATGACAGCCTGGAAAGTGGAAGGGGCATTGGTTAACCCAAAGGGCATCACCAAGAACTCATAATGCCCCTCATGAGTCCTGAATGCAGTCTTGGAAGTGTCTTCCGGAACCAATAATATCTGATGGTAACCACTCCTCAAGTCCAGCTTAGTGAAAATCCTTGCTCCTTGAAGCTCATCTAGTAGCTCATCAATTGTTGGTATAGGAAAACGGTCCCTGATGGTGATATTGTTCAATGCCCGATAGTCAATACACATCCTCCAAGAATTATCTTGTTTTTTACAAGCAAGACAAGGGAGGAAAAATGGCTCCTGCTTTCCTTGATTAAGCCAGTAGCTAACAATTCTGAAACTTGGTGTTCTATTTCAGCCTTTTGATGATAGCCATATCTGTATGGCCTTACATTCACTGGTCGTGCTCCTTCTACCAAATTAATGGCATGGTCACACCCCCTGAATGGTGGCAGTCCTCTTGGCAATTGAAATACAGGCTGAAATTGTACCAAAATATCCCAAATAGGCAGGGGAATTTTTTGTTCCAGTTCCAGCAATTCCGGTAAAATACCAGACACCTCCTGCACTTTTATTCCCTCTAAGCTCAAACAACGTTGCTCAACAGGACTCACAGCTTTACAGGGATTTTCACCATGCAGTATCACCCTGCCCTCACATGTCATAAATTCCATGGATAATTCGGAATAATAATGGAGCACCCTTCCAATTCGACTCAACCAAGACATACCTAAGATGATGCCAAAACCAGAGAGCTCAATAATCCACAAATCAACCACAAAAGAGTACCCTTGGATAAGCAATGGAACACACAAGCACTTTCTGTCACAAATAAGGAACTCCCCATTTCCCAGAAACACCCGCATCCGAGGAACTCTCACAGAGGGTAAACCCACATCAGCAACCAATTGCTTCTGGATGAAATTATGAGAGCTCCCAGAGTCTACCAGAATAGGAATCATCTGACCATGAAACTCAACCTGAAATTGAAGAGCTCTAGGATTAGTATCTCCTTTCAGAGAGTGCAAAGCAGCTTCATGTGACTCTTCCTGTGACAACTCTAGTTGCCAAACAATTTGTTCGTCAGACTCCTCCACACATTCCTCCCAATCTCCCACCAGTAGGAATAATTTGGACTTACATTTGTGGCGTGAATTCCACTTCTCATCACATGTATAGCATATTCCTAACTCCCTCTTTTTCGCCAATTCCTCATTACTTAACTTCTTGAACGGTACATTGGAAGGTAAAGCTGGAAAAGTCTGTTTCTGACTGGGCAGAATGGAATTCGATGGTTTAGGATGATCGACAGTATAAGAATTTTTTGGAAAGCTCTTTGTGCTCCCAGGGGATGTAAAAGAGGAACGGAGCTCCACAAAATGAGCATCATAGGTAATGGCCAACTGCATGGCTTGATGGAGAGATGTAGGTGAATGTAATTGAATTGCCCGTCGTAGATCAGGAAGCAAACCTGAGACAAAAAAAACTCATGAGCACCTCATCTGAGAACTCGGTGACCTGATTAATGAGGGCTTCAAAGTTCTTAATATATTCATTCAACGTGCCATCCCGTGTGAGTTTGGAAAGCACTCCACGCAAATCAGTATATGCGGTACCACCAAAACGCTGACGGATGGCTACCTTCAATTGCTCCCAGGACTGAATGGAACCCCCATTGAATAACCACTGGAACCAAGGACCAGCCAAACCCTCCATACGTATACCAGCTAAACGAACCTGAAGTGCAGCAGGAACCTGTTGCAAGCCAAAATACATCTCCGTACGAAAAATCCAACTATTAGGATCAGTGCCATTGAAAACTGGAAACTCCATCCGAATCGATTTCATTATGGAACGAGGATCATCAACAAGAAAACGTGGCTGCGAAGTACCTCCAGATTCAATTCCAGACACAGCATGCACACCAGGTGTTCGAACATGTGCCCTTACCACCGCAGCATGAATCTCCTGTAATTGAGCAGTTATACTAGTGAATTGATTTTGATGTTCAGTGAATCGATGTTCAACTCGAGCCTGCATGTCGTCAAAGCTACGATCTATGCGGTTTTGGAACGCAACAAATTCGTCTGCCAATTCCTGAACGCGCATGATGAAATCTTGTTGAGTATCAATGAGATGAAAGCACCAATGTTAGGATAGCGGATTCTAAATCGATATCTCAATATAAAGAACAAGAAGGAAAAGGAAATTCAGAGAGAAAATCAATCGAAATTTGGTTCTGTATATTCAAGTGAGTTCTCCATTCATCCCTATTGTGCCTATATGCCACGTTCCTCTAACCTCCTCCTAACAGAATTCAGCACAAGACACGTAGACTCCTTACAATGACTCATACTTGAGTCCAACAGATAACAACAACCACACTAAGCAATGGCCCATTAACTAATGACAGTAATGCATAATATCTCAAATGAAAGTAATACAAGGCTAAAGCTAATGACAACAACTGTGTTGGGCTGACTACATCACATAGTCCTTGGCCCATGTAGGAGCTCCAGCTCTTCTCTTCAACTTGGGCTCATGATTCCTAACATGCACGTTAAGGCTTTGTACCGTTTTGCACACTACTAACTATGTCGCCTAATCTTAGCATGACTTGGATTGGCTCCAATAGGTCATGGAACTTTTCTTGTTTCAACCACTTCCAACAAGTCAAAAGCTTTTTAATATGTCTCCATATAGGGTAGTATTCTCTTAGGTCGTGTTTGGTTCGAGATTTCTCTTCACTATCCCAGCAAAGTGCATGTGGGTATCTCATTTCTCCATGTTTGGTTGAGGGATATCCTGAAATTTCTCCATCAAACTTGCTTCCCTAGCTATCGCTATATGCATGTAAAAAACTAGTTTTTCACTGTTTCAAAAGCCTTCTCAGATGATGGTATTATTGTGAGAATACTGGACAAATTGAAAAGGGATGAAAAATGTGACAAATTTACCCCTTCCTTTAACCAACGGTTATGTATGTTGAGGGAGCACATAGAGCTCCTCTTCCACAGCTTGCAACTGGGAGAAGCCACCATTGACAGAACTTTCCATTGTTTCAAGCATTTCTAATTCAGCTGCTGAAAAAAATTACTCAAATCAAATATTGAAATTGCATTCGTACGGAAGATCGTGCATTGCTGATGATGAATGTGCGTGTTTCAGGAGCAGAGGAAGAATTAGTATAGAGGAGAAATTTGGGAAATTTTGCAGAGAGAAAAACACAAATAGAGAGAGAAGGGATGAGGGAGAGTGAACATCATACAATACAATACCACTAGTGGGTTTGGTTTTGAGGAGTACTCTGCTTCACACTTTAATATTTCAAAATTTTATAAAAAAAGGTTACTTTTGTAATTTTAACTTTTTTCCCATCTATTTTTTATTTTCAACCAAACATACATCAGGATTTTTAACCCAATTTTCCCATCAATATTTTGCGGTACCAAACAACTTTTTTTAAACTTTCCTACCAAACTTACTTTCCTTCCATTTCCCTATCAATTACATTTTCCTAGTAAAAAAAAATTTCTCCTGAACCAAACACTACCTTACGAATTCAGCCACTGGGATTGTTGAACCAATGTTGTTTAGCTTTAAGTGAGAGCAATTGTGGGTATTGAGGGCTCTGATGAAAAGGTTGTGACAGCAAGGAGGCAATGTAATTTAGCTCAAGCTGATAGGTAGTGAGTGCCCTATCTAAGGCGACCATTGCTCTGAGTTCATGGTGGTGATATTGGAGGATGATTAGTAGAGAATAAAAGCTTCCTGTTCTTTTTTGACTAGACGAAAAAAATGATCATGGTGACTTGAGTGGCTGAGTCCTCAAAGAATGATGGCTCATCCAGTGGGGGGTTTATGTTTTTCTTATTCTATTTCGGATTTTTTCTTAAAAAATTAATAGGAAATTAATTAATGATCCATATTTAATATAAATGAAAGGCTTTGATTGATTCACCGATAGTTACTAAAAAGATCCAAAATGAAAGAATTCCTTGAAATAATAGTTAAAAATTTATTATCTAATTGAAGCCAGCATTAATTCTTGGACTTTACAAAAGGCCCAAAATTTAGAAGGTTTACTACACTTTTCCCGACAAATTTAGAAAAAATCAATGTTATGAGAAAGGTCAAATGAAAAACTTTGAGGAAGTGTCCACTTTTTGGATAGAATGCACTTATATAACAACTTCGTTAGTTTCTTAACCCCCCTATAAGAAAGGTATTATGTTACTCAGTAGTTAGAACATCAACTAATGCATAAAATAAATAAATAATCAACTATAATGCAATCTACCCAAAATTTCACAACACAAATTTAAAGTTAACTATATCCAATCTTACCCTAATACTTTTACGAAGAGTATTTCCCAAAATTCGGTCACGTAAGAGCAATATTACCACTATTTCAAGACTCTCCTCTGGTATAATATGTTCAATATAAGTTTATTCTTTTTTTTATGCAGATATGTTCAATGTAAATTAGGAAATCTACTCAAATGATTTAAAAAATTATTGTTAACTTTTTCAATATGTTCAACATAAAAAATATTAAAGAATAAAACTATACCATCTAGTTTCCAAATATATGATTTATCAGTCTGTAGATTGTCTTTAATTCCATTTGTTGATTCAAGCATATTACATCATTATTGTAGGACCCCAAAAAAAAGAAAAGAAAAAAAGAAGCCAATAATACTAGCAAAGCCAACCTAAGTAACATTCTTGTTCATATACATATTTAGCCTGGTTTAAAAACACAAGCTTAAAAGCACACAAATAATAAAAAAGAAAAAAACTTTAAAAATTACATTAGTATATCAGAAATTTTTACAATACTTCCGTCCCACCCACTGTTCCATACATCCCTCCAATAAAAATCAAACACCAATGCTGATACAACAACATGTAAGAGAAAAAAATACTATTTAAACACAGGTATTTCATTGTGAGTGACAGAAGTACATACTACCGTAATATGGAAAATGCGCTCTAGTATATCACCCTGAACTGGCAAGAGCTGATTGTAATACATCTTCAAGATATTTCTCAGCAGCAGCATACTGCCTTTTCTTATCCTCAATAGCTAAGGCAGCCAAAGCTTTATCCTAGACAATCCCAACCAACAGAAAATATAAGAATAAACGCAACATAGTTCTACAATGCTCCACAACTATAACAGAAAACATGTGGAACACGAAATACCGGAGGCAAATCCTGGTAGCTCCTTAGAGTATCCAGGATGGGCTTAGTTTTCTTCTCCAGCTCCTTTCTATGTTCAGCCATTTCCACCAAAACCCTATGGCTGACCTCTGGGGTATAACCTGCATGACTGAGCACCGCCTGCATCAACGTTATTCAGCATGTTAAAGATCAGAAGTATAAAAGCACCAAATAGTATTGTAAATAAGGGTGAAATTCAGTTTTTCACTCTGATGTAGCCCAATTATAACATGTCAGCCAAAGAATAGAAGTAGAGAGTTAATATTTCCATGAGAACTGATGTAAATATGGATTTGTGATGTCTGCTTTTGATTCAGATGTGTACTTTAGTACAAAACTTGTATTCTGTCCAGTAAAAATAGTACTACCTGAGTGAGACTACTTTTTTATGTTCGATGATCTTGCTAGATTAAAGATATGCCTGACGGGGTACAACGATTACATGTCTTACTAATCATGCACAAATTGATTCACACAATTATAAAAGTTGCTGCGTAATTTAGAGCTTCTGCAAATAAACAGAAGTTACTCATGATGCTGACAGCCTTCATTCCTTGTAGCAGAGCTTTGGCTATAAGAATTCAAATTACATAAGGTTGGTTCCATTTTAAAGCTAAGACACTAAGCTTATAACAGTTAAAACTTCAGAATTCTCGCATTCATGATGTGTGCTAAGCAGAGGCATGAAGAGAGTGCTTTTTTTATTTTATTTTTGCAGAAGGGGATTCTGCCATGAAGGAAAAGTCACTTAACTGCATGGGTCTAGTTGAGGGATCAATGACTTGCGAAAGGTACCAATCCTTACACAAGTCAGAAAAGAACACTAAACAGAGGAACACTCACCAGATTATTATTCGGTGATGGATGCAGAAAGCTAGCGTTAGGGAATTGAACAGTGAAATGATGCTACTGTGGCCGAGAGTCCCTCTCACTGCTATCCACACACTACCTTCTTATATTTTCAATTTTGCCTAACTGAATTCCATCCCCCACTATTCCTTGCCAGTTCAGCATTTAGTTATTCTCTAAACTTAACAACATAAATATTCCCTTTATTTTCTATTATATCCTCCTCAACCTTGTGTGGTTATCCTTCTACTTCCCATCCCTTTCCTTACAGCGTATGCCTCAGTAAAGGGGTCTACCAGTACAATACTCCCCCCTTTTATGCTGTAAGGACACCAGAGCAAAAGGAGTAGTCCCCCAACCAATCGGGAAATTCTGTGCCTGGATTTCTGGATAGTCATAGACATCGAGCTCCATCAAATTGGTATGCAGTTGCAGGCTGTCCAGTATGGTTTTTTCAAGCTGCGAGTTATCAGAGTAACCACTTCCACCCCCAATCCAATGACAACTTTTCAGGACCAATCTTTTCCTTCAATTTAGCCTTTTCAGAATCCTTATTATCGACAATATGTTCTTTGTAACGAATTACAATGTTCCATGTAAGTTAGATAGCTCTCCCATTTCAGCAATGGAAGATCCATAATCTTCTACAAAAAGTCACTCAACTTTTGAAGGTTTCTCACATTCCACTTCAAACAAGTGCCTCTAGTATCCTGAGTAGCACAAGTTAACAAGTTTATGAATATATGTTGGCAGTTTAATAAGATTATAACATTCAACTAACTACAGATATTGTAAATTGTACAAGCTGCAGATGACTTCTACCTAGCACAGACGTTTTAATTCACAGATTGAATCAGGTAAACATAGATATGTGCACCTGCCAAAGATAACACCCTTGAGTAATTTGACTAGGTCAACAGATCATTTGGCATGTTGTTGAACAAGTTGATGGATGCATCTATCGTTCTTATTTGCAGAAAGGTGCAAAGGCCATTGCTTTGCTAATATCTTTCAGGTTTGCATATGAGGAACTATGTGCAATAATGTGGGGCATATGACGAGTTCTTTTTTCAACTTCATTAGAATTATTAGCTTCCATTCTGACAGAAAATGTTCCAGGTTCAAATTGAGCCAAGTCGTTTACAAGATGATGCATTAGAAAGCATGACTTGCCGCATCTTGCCTGCTGGAAAAATGATCTAGATACTAAGTCACAACAATACTCGTTTCCAACTTCTACAATTCTTCTCGTTTCCAACATCCTCCCCCTCCATTGCTGATCCCTTCATTGACTCCCAATCCGTTTGCCTTTTGTTGCCCAACAGATGAGGTTAAATTTCGCGACCCACTAATGTTCAGCCCACTTCGTCCCACAGTGTTGTGCTTATTGGGCCCAGTGTCTAAATAAGTTGAGGCCCAGTTTGTCAATGCAGGTCGTTGATTCAGCCCATTACCGTGTCCATGGCCACTGCTGACCCCCTTTGCCGACGTCCCCATCTTTTCCTTCACCTTCTCTTCTATCCTTTGTGCCAACGTCATCATCCTCCCCAATTCATTCAAATCATGAAGTCTCATTTCTGCCCTGATATCCTCCCTCAATCCATTAAGAAACGCAGCTCTGATCATCTATTCTTCTGCATGTCTTAGTGGTGCTGATAACAACTCAAATTGCTCACGGTATTCTACTATTGTTCCTTCTTGACGGAGACTCATTAACGCCTCGTATGGGTTCCCTGAGGATGAGATGTGAAAACGCTCCAATACCGCTAATCGAAAATCATTCCAATTAATGTTTGGGTTTCTATTTTCCCACCACTGAAACCAATTGAGTGCCCTCCCCTCCAAACAAATCGCAGTAGTCTCCAAATGTTCCTCCACCGGAATTCGATTGATCCAGAAGTAGCGTTCAGCACGATAAAGCCATCCATAAGGATCTCACCCTTGAAATAAGGCACTTCTACTCTTCGCGCTTGTAAGAACTCGTACCGTTAATTTAGGAATTTAATTAATTAAATATGAAATTAATGAGATAATTCCATAATTGACCCTAATAATTATGAGAAGGCTTAAATAATTAAGGTAAGTAATTAATAATGTTGAAAGTCATTTTTCTGACGAAAAGTGCAGATACCGGTCCTGCCTCACGGTATAAAGGCGTACCGATGAAGTATCCCGAAAAATTATGAAAAATGTGTATATATTACTAGAATAATATATAGGACTGGTATAACAAGTTTGAAGTCAAAATAATGAGAAGTGGTGTCAGAACTGATACCGGCTACGTAAAAGCGCGTACCGGCAAAGTGCTGCGAAAAATAAAATAAAAATGACAAATCCTAGAAAAATGGTTAGGTTCAGAATCCCAAGTTTGAGATTAAAATGATAAACGTAACTATTAGCACTAATGCAGTGGGATTAGCTTAATGGACCTATAAATAGCCTTAGGGCCCAAAACCCTAGGCCATATTGCATTTGTTACGTGAGGCTCTTTTGGGTGTTGATTGCTTCAGCCATTTCCCTTCTTCTTGGAAGCTTGGAACTTGCATAATATATCCAACCAAGTGATCACCTTTTTTCCTTTTCTCACCACCAAAACACCATAGCTTTGTGTGAGTGGGTCTTGTGGGGGTGTGGGCTGCTGTGTGCTGAGTGTTGTGGCTGTGAGTGGTGGTTTTGTGGGCTGAGTTAGTGGTTCTCATTGGTGAGAGCCATTTTCTTGTCTTTGGAGGCTTCAAGGAGTCATCTTCAAGTGTAAAGGTTCAAGCTTGTGGCGTAAATTTGTGGTTCTTCAAAGTCAGAACCTTTGAGCATTGTTAGAAGCTCCAAGGCTGTGTCATTTTCTGAGTTTTTGGAGTTTGAGGTATACCATGATCACCTCTTTGTTATTTTCATGATTTTAGCTTGTTTAATCCATTAAAAAGGGAAGCTTTGATAATTTGAGTTAAGGACTGATAATCTAAGTTTAAAATATGTTAATGAACTTCTGTTTACGGAGTCATTGGACTCCAAATCGCTTTAGGACACTTAAAAATGGAATTATGCAGAAGACAGCTCGAATTTCTGCATTCTGTCTGATAAGTATTCGAATACTTTTCGTATAGTATTCGAATACTCATCAACAGGTAATTGAATACTCCTTGAAGGAGTATTAGGATACTTTTTCTGGGAAGAAAAGTATTCGGATACCTGCGAAGAAGTATTCGAATACTGGATAGTATTCGGATACTGAAGATATTGTATTCGAATATTTTGTGGTATTCGGATACTGAGTGAAAAGTATTCGGATACCTTGTGGTATTCGGATACTTAAGTGAAAGTATTCGGATACTTTCTAGAGACTTGAAGTATTCGGATACTCTTCGAGAAGTATTTGAATACCTCTTGCAGAAATTGCATGAAATCACCCAAGACAAGTTGGAAAGCCTTAATTAGTTAATGGAACCTTGGGCAATGATTATTGATGATTAATTATTGTATAAACAGACTGTGATTGTGCTGTTTGGTGACATTGAGCTTGTGTGGACTTGACTTGGATTGATTGCTTAAGAGGTAAGCTTTCGTGTCCTCGGTTTAGCCATTGTTGATTCCACCATACCCCATGGGGGGATGGTTTATATGCATGATGTGTTTTCATGTATTGATTTTGAAATGCTGTTGAGCTGTTATGTGCAAGTGCCTTATAATATGCATGTGTTGTTCCACCTAGACGGTAAGCCTGTGTATGTAACAGACATGTCATAGGGTGATTCTGTGGTTGGGTGCAAGTGGTGTCTTGCACTAATTATAGGTAATAGACGTATGTAAACCCTGCATTTCTCTGGCCAGTAGAATAGTTGACACACATGACATGATTATTCTGCTGCATTGCACTGATTTTAGAACTTATATTGTTTTACTGCTTGTAGAACTTATATTGCACATGTAAGTGAGCTTGGGGTGGAGAAATCCTTGAGGACCCCTTATCTTACTGAGATTTCTGTTTAGAGATCTCACCCCACGTTTGGGGCACATTTTCAGGTTCAGGTAACTCGGGGGTTGAGACCTCGGGCGGCAAGAGGCCGGAGCTGAGTTAGATATATGCTGTTTATGATGATATGCTGGATTCTGACTTGCTTTATATTTATTACCATATGATTTGATTTGAGACTCTGTTGGGCTTTGTTGCCTTATTTGGTGAGTATGGGGGTTGTCCATGCCACATTGATTTGATTTTGTTGATTTAGCTTCGAGTTGTATAATTGTATCAGGATTATGATCCGGACTACGTGTTGTAGCTCCGTGATTTAGATACTCACAGTTATTTATATATTGAGGTATTCCAGTTAGTTGTTTTATTGCAATTTACATACAGGCAATGTTTTATGAAAAAGGACTAAGTAGTCAACTTGGTTAATGATAAAGACGTCATAATTGAAAAGAAAAAGTTTATTCCGCATTTTAATTAAGCGTAGCTTAATACGATGATATGATAACAAACCGGGTATACACAGGGTCTCTTGTACGATTGATCCTATCTCCTTCACTCTCACCCCTATTCCCATCTCCATTCTGATTTCTATCTCTGTTTCCACTACAATCCCTCGACCCACGATCTTCCGTTCTCAGTACGTTTACACTGTGTACGAGCTCCAACACAGTAGCGCCCAATTGACGAATGGACTCTTTGATTCCTCCTAATCTCTCATTTTCCCTAACTCTCCCTCTCTCCAATTCTTCTAGTCCTGATTCCATCCTCGTAAGTACCATATAATTTTTTTATTTTATTTTTATTTTTATTTTTTTCAGGATCAATAGAGCTTTGATACCAAATTGTTCGTACCCATGAGTAATTACATGTAATGCACCCCTTTATCAATTGAATGACCGAATATCAGATCTAAATATTACTATCAATAAATTGAAATACATCTATATCAACGTTTTATTCATAAAAGTGAACTCTGAAGAACCACCTTCCTCCTTACAAGCAAATAACAACAGACTCCTACCTCTCACACAGTGGAAGGGAAACACATTGAAATGAAAAGACTCCCAGACTCAACAATCAATGGCCTTAACAGCACTGCATTTACAGACTCCAACAAAGAGATACAATGCACTCACAAGACAATTATTATAGACTGTAAAGAACCTTGGAATACACCATCCCAAAAGCTAGCTCAAAGGATGGGAGTGCCCAAAGCCTTATAAACTCCACATTAGTTGCTCATACAGCCAATGTGGGACTATATATCTCAACACGCCCCCTCACACGAGAGCCCATTGGGCTTGAAGAGTGGAAGATGCAACAGGCCCAGCCTACCAGTGCTAAGAAAGTCCACAAGAGAAAGTGGGGGGCGGCGAGGCTCTGATACCATGTAAAGAACCTTGGGATACACCATTCCAAAAGCTAACTCAAAGGGTGGAAGTGCCCAAAGCCTTATAAACTCCACATTAGTTGCTCATACAGCCAATGTGAGACTATATATCTCAACACAGACACCTTGACTCCTATTATAATAACTATAACCAGCTCTCATTCTCCTAGCTACCTCTACAAAACAAACCCATTTGCAGAGAAGCCATTCCCCTTTCCCCAAGTGGTTGAATAACTTTTTTCACACCTTTTCCTTGCTTCCACTCCCACTATAACAAACTTCTGTCACGTTCCTTGGCTCCCCGATTTTCTCCTGGCCATTCAGCATCTGCCAGCTGTCTATTTCTTCCTTTTGCATAAATAATTTCATCCCCTTACTAGCTCTTTGGACCACCACTTCCTCTTCTTTATTATTGTTGCTTGGGCTTGGACCCAAATTATCTTTTTGGGTGATCTGAACATCTTCCTGGCCTGTCTGTTTTTCTATCACTTTGTTGACTTGATCAGCATTACATTGTTGGGCTGCACTTGCTTTAGCTTCCCTTCTTTTATAACTGCGTGGGAATGGCTCTAGTGGCCCATCATCCTGCAAGCGTCTTCCCAGCCAAAGGCAATCCTTTGCACTTTCGAACTATTTTTCTTCCAACTTTGTCTACACTTTGATGGAGATTTCAATGCCCACAATCAATCGCATGTTTTGAAAATAAATTCCAACAATCTTCATTGAGCAATTCACTGGGATTATAAGGTGGAATAATTTGCATGATGGATGCAACATACTGTTACAGAGCTGGATTTAACAATGTTATAGATGAAGGAAAGAAAGATAATGGGTGAGAAACAGAGATGGAAGAAAGTCTGAATTTTATTGATAAAGCACTAGGAACAAGAGACATTTCTCTTTACAAGGAAAATTCCCTTTACACTGAGCACTCTCAGTCACACTACAGAATTATTGAACAGAAGCCTGAGTCTGGGAATAACTCCCTATTTATGCAAGAATTCTCAAAACAATAAACTAAACTAACTTCCTAACTAACTCCTAGGTCTCCTTTGATATACTTTCCACATTCTAGGCCCTTCTATATCCATATTTACATCCGTATCATATACCCAGTACCCACTTTGAGTAATTACAATAATCTTACATCCATGAGCCCCTCCATGTTTAAATGGACTCCTAAATTTGCCCCAAATATTTTATTTATCCCAAATTTGTCCCCTCCTAAATTACAAGTAAGAAAGACAGACTAGAAACGATAAAGACCCAAAAGACGCTAATACCCAGAGCATTCAAGAGGCCCTGGTTCTCTACCAAGGTTCCAGCCAATGACCCAAAAAATTTCATCATGACCCATACCGAAATATTCTCTGCTATATGTAACCGTGGGGTGCTGAGTGTGTAACTCAATTCCCTGAAATTCCATTCTAATTAACTGCTGACTCAGCATTAGTATAGGAGCTTGCAATCCTCTACGCCTCTTCCTTAAGCACACCCTCCTAAACCTATTACTTAATGCCATGTCCTTATCACAGTTATTTATTTTATATTTTATTCATGCCTTTTAGTTTCTTTTGTTCAAGTTACTTTTGATTTTTAAGATTCATTTTAATGCTATAAAAGGGGTTCAATGGGTAGGGGATAATTCACTTTTTCCTCAACGACTAAGTTTTCTTCTACATCTGTGATTATTAACCAGAAGAACCCTCTTTGGCTGTATATTTATCTCTTTGACCATCCTTTTCTTTAACTATATCCCTTGCATGCGAAGATAACCCTAGGGCCATTTATCCCACATCAAATACATTCACCCACAGTTCCTGTTAGTTCCAAAATATATCTCAACTAGGAGAACTTTATTTCTGGAACACTCCCCCCCCCCCCCCCCCCCCCCCCCAAAACACCAAATAAAATAAAATAAAATTAATAATAATAATAAAAGAGAGGACATTGTACCTTGAAGTTGGCACATTGTTGCATGTACTGCCTTTCTTTTGCAGCCATTACTTGCAAGTTTGTGTTCCAACTTTCCATCTGAGCCTCACATGGAGCTACCTCATCTTCTAATTGTGCAAGTGTTCTGCACAAAAATTGTTTCATATAAAATTAGAGCAGAAGAAAAGGGCATCTTATGCCAAAAGCTGTCTACTTCGACAAGCGAATCTGATAAGAACGATACTTGCCAGCATTTAATTTATTTTAAAAAATACCTTTTCAAATAAGTTAGCCTGGCTATAGCCTTTCTAGTGTAATCAAGGAGAAGCTTGGACTCCTTATGCACTTTAGCCCTTTTTTCCTCCACACCAGTCTTCCTCAGGGAAATATCACTCATTGCTACAAGAAAGCTAAACACAGCTTCAAGGGTTCAAACTTTAATGCAGAAAACAAACCAAATAAAATAAAATAATAATAACAGTGAAAGTGAAGCCCACCCACCTACTCATTTCAGTATCTCTTATATTCAACAAGTTGGCCACATTTGCAAGAACTTGTGCAGATGCAACCACATTGGAAGGCAAACTCTCTTGGGCTAAACCCACATTCTCCAAAATCTCTCTAATCCTGGCAGCTGCAACAACAAATCATCAATTTGAATAATCATCAACATTGTCATACCAGATCAAAGTTGGTGATAGAAAAGAAAAGAGGAACCCTAACCCTACCTTGGGATCGGTACTCTGAGGCTTTTTGCCGGAAATCGCGAGCCACAAGACGTGCTGCTTCGTCTTTGGCTTTGGAGACGGTTAAGAGATGGTGCAAGTGGGATACGCTACGAGGAGTGTATTCAAATTCTGGGACGGTTTTGCCAGCAGCTTCGAACGTCTTTTCTAGCCATTCCTTTACTTCCCCCATCGCAGACCCTTCTGTTACCCCTGCCTCTTGATTGCTCATTGTTAATTTCCAAATCAACAGAGAAGAATAAAAAAGACAGCCACGTATATGCTGCAAAGCAAAGGAAGATATGAGCAAATTGGAGATGGAATTGACATTCAGTTCTTACCTGTGACTTTCGTTCAATTTTTTTAATGAATTAAAATATATTATTTTTTAATCTTATGTCACATTTTATCTTATTATGAAAGCATATCAAACATAAAATAGAACCAACATAATATGTTTTGTTTAGTTTCTAAGACATTTACCAAATAGTACCTTATTCTTAGAAAATCGAAAGATAAATAAGTATATCAGGATACATTCGTGTTTGAAGAATTAATATATAATTTAGTTCTTACAATAGCAACTTATGTTGTTTTGATGAGGTGGTAAAGGAGGTTGAATGTGCCCCTAACCCGACAAAAATGAATGGGGCGCGTTGACCCACTTTTCAAAAATGGGTTCAACTCACCCACCTTTTTATAGTAGATTGACGGCTCAACCCATCTAAATGATAAAAAAAAAAAATACAAAATTGAAAGCTAGGGGACTAGAACCCCTGTTTGATTATTAACAAAATTTAGCCTACTAAATAAACACCTTTGATCCCTTTCAACTCTTAAAGTAGGTATTGAAATTCCTATTTCCCCACATATTAAAAATTAAATAAATCAAGGATCAAATAAGATAGAAAATTTTGCTAGCTCATACTACCATATTAACAAACAACTAAGCTTTTCTCATGTTGGCACAATAACAGTTCCAAAAAAAAAATTCTGCTCATATTGTTTAAACAGATAAATCAAAACAATCACGCAGATAATAAATCATTCTTCACATCCACAAAAACAGAGAAAAACGCAATGATAACTGAAGTCGCAAATAACCATATGATCAAACCCCATTTGAATTCTGTCAAAAAGTTTGATTTTGAAGGAACCCCATGTCGTTCACTAACTCTCACTTTCACACCCACTGAAAATCTGGTTCTGATTTCAGAAACCAAATTTGAGGTGAGTTTGCCTCATACTATCTCTTTTGGCCCCAGAACAAACACACTGATTCAAACGATTCGTTACGAAAAAGTGAAAAACCAAGAGGGAGAAGAGAGAAGATGATGGAACACATACCGATTGCGCAAGCAGAATATGGGGACGGCTCTATCAGAAACAAGGGCACAACCTATGATGCACCGACATCGATAAAGGATACAACACGAAATGACACTCCGACATGTTAATTCTAAAAAATGCTATATTTCAATACGCTAGGACACGTTTTAATATTAAATAATATTTTTAATATATAAAATATAATTTACATTTAATACATATAGCAGCCCATAGTAAGTCATATAACGAATCAAATATTCAAATTCCATAACATATATTTATATGAATTCCTTCCTTAATTTAAGCCCACGTCCAAATCATCAAGAAACATGTTGGAATTTACCTAGTCCTAATTAGTGCTATTAACGTATAAAATTAAGGACAGCAACTACGTGCTCATTATGCAAGGAAATGGTGGGTTCCATTAGTATTTGAATGTCAAATAGGTGGGGAAAACCGTGGGGTACATATAGATGTTAAATTCTAAACTTAGTAGTCACCTAAGTCACGTATATATCAAGCCTTCTTTGTTTGTATAAAATCTATTTTATTTATATCATCTTTCATGTTGACACATGTATAGCATTCAAACACTTTCTTTATAGTCTAACATTCCATTTACACTTACATCAAATCGTGTAGGACAACAACATTGAACTAAATACATTTCACACAAAATCAATATTTTATAAGCATGATCTCATTTATATTGCTGCCTTCACTTTTATAATACACAACTAAATTACATACTTGATACTTGATAGCACATATTCCGTATAATATTTTTCAGCATAACATGACTTTAAATATAAGTTTAGCTCAAGATTGTACTTTCCTTTTTCAAGGCATAACATTCATACATAATGTACTCAGCCATACACAACAATTCATGGCAGTACTTACTACTGTACACATACTTAGCAAATATACATTAACAACATTGAATACATGGCAAGTAATGTGTTTGCTACCTTGGACTCAAACTCAAACCCACTGCCAATAAAAAGACCATGAAGCTGAATAGCAACACTAAGTATCCCTCTTGTAGCACATATAGACAAAATACAAGTAAACGTTACCGAATTAGGCTTACTCTAAGAGTCCCTCATTTCCTGAAAAGTTTCTACCGCATTGTTAAAAAGTCTCCATTTTTCACATAACCATTGAGCATGACATTCCACAAAATGCTGTCTCTCATAGGCAATTCATCAAACACGCATCTTGCATCATGAATATAACCATTATCTGCATACCACTTGATCAAAGAAATACCAACAAACAAGTCCACATGAAACCCCATGGACTTAACCATATTATGAACCATCTTACACAATGGCACATTATTCAAACCACACTTGAAATAGAGGAAAAAAAGGGATGAGAGAGAGAGTTCAGATCAGATGAGAGAGAAAGAGAGATCGGAGAAAGAGAGATCAAAGCACTTACCAGCAGGAATCGACAGCAGACGGCAGCAATGGCAGAGGAAGCATAGACAAAGGGAAGGAGGAAGATGCAGAGCAGCGCCGGGATGGAACGAGGAGTATGTTTAGTTTTGGGGAAGTTTTATTTTTTTGTTTTTATTAAAAAAAATTAATATTTTAAAATTATAATTTTATTTACGAAAAGGATATTGCAACAACCAAATTGTGTTACTATCAATGTTATTACCAATTAATCTCACTGTTAGATTGATTATGTTGATCTAACGGTTATATTTATTTTCATCTTTCTATGGTAGTAATTTTTCAAATTTAATACTTTATATTTATTTTCACCTTTATATGATTATGATTTCCCATATTTAATGCTTTCACTTTAAATATGGGAATCATAATCATACAAAGGTGAAAATAAATATAACCTTTGGATCAACATAATCGATCTAATGGTGAGATTGATTAGTAGTATCAATAGTAACACAAATTAGTTGTTAAAATATCTTTCCCCTTATATTAATATATTTTAAATTTTAAAAATTATAATTTTCTTACGATAATTTCCTTTTTTTTTTGTAAATAAAGAGGGGCTAAGCCCCAGAAACAGAAAGAAATTACAAATCAGAAACTAACAAGCTAGAAATATTTCTAGCATCAGCAACTATAAGTTCTATCAACTGAGGAGGAGGATCTTTAAAAATCTTGAAATGGAGATTATTAGTCTGCCCAGCTTTAGCTAACCAATGAGCACATTTGTTGTTTTCTCTCTTGGTATGAACAAGATGAATAGTCCAATCTGCTTTTAACCATAATCTCAATCTGCTAGCGACTTGAGAGTCCCTAGGATCTTCATGCTGCTCCTTTAACATCTGGATGGCTTGGCTAGAATCACATTCTAGCTCTATTCTTTTTAATCCTGTTCCCCAAAGCAGTTCCAAACCTTTCAGTAATCCCCATAATTCTGCATCAAGAGGATTGCAGGAACCTAAATTACAATAGAAGCTTCCCAAAAAGGATCCATTGTGATCTCTTAATATACCACCACAACTAGCTTTTTTCATGCCACTAGAAGAAGCTCCATCACAATTCAACTTAACCCACCCTTGCTTGGGGGCTGTCCAAACGCTATCGTTGGAATCACCACGGCGCTGATAAATTCGGGCTTGCAGAATCTGTTGGACAAACATCCAAATTGAAGCCTGTGATTGCTCATCATGACAGAAATGATCTTCATGGATCTCCAAATTTCTCCACTTCCACAAAAACCAACAAGTAGTAAAGAAAATATCCCTCCAGTCCTTCACTTTATTGGAGGACCACATGTTATCGATATTTAAAGTCAACCAATCCTGCAAATTCGAATTCATAAAGGAATTGGGTATCGAACCTGTAAACCAAGATTGCCAAATTTTCCTAACATGTCTACAATCACGAAGAACATGAATAATAGTTTCCTCATGATTTGGACAACTGGGACAGACATTTGAACCTCCGCTCCACTTACTGGTTCTGCTGCGCACTGAAAGTTTAGCAAGCAAAGTCATCCACATAAACACTTTCACTCGTTTACGATAATTTCCTTTGACTAGCATGTATGACGCACAACAACAGTGTAGAAGATACGACGGAGATGGCTAGTGTTTTAGGATGGTTTTAATTTTTAAATAGTAATATTTTTAAGTTTTAAAAATAAAAAATCTACTTATATCTAAATATATCTAAAAGAATTTTTTTTAAAAATATCTATATATAAAAGGAAACTCGGTCTTTGAGAATTTTATTGACGTGACGTAGGGGTGTTCATCAACCGATCCAAACCGATTCAAACCGCGGTGACCGAACCGAAAAACCGATAACCGAATAAACCGAAAATCGAAAACCGAAAACCGATTAAAAACTGCAAATTTTAATTGGATTAGATCGGTTTTTGGATGGGTTGATGAAAACCGATCCAATATATTAATTTTCTTGTACCTACTTGGGTATTTCCCTAATCATAGCCTAAAAATTTGTAAACCCAAAACTCATTAACTCATCAACTAAACCCAAGAAAAAATCTAGTCATATCCCATCAATAAAATTTTATCTTTGTAGAGCTTCATATCTCATTGCCAAAATTAAAAAAATTATATTATAGTTTACTAATGCTTTTGTATTTCAAATTTTTTTTTTTACAAAGCCAATATATACAAAAGATGTTATTTGCACAATAATCACGAAATAAATTTTAAGATTTTCAAAAAACCGAAAACCAATCCAATCCAAACCGAAAAAATTGGATCGGATCGGATCGGATTTGAAAAAAAATCAAAACCGAATGGATGATTATATGATCAAACCGAAGGGATTGGATGAGATGATTTTTGTTTCCAAAACCGATCCAATCCAGACCGCGAACACCCCTTACGTGACGCTCTCTCCTTCAATATCCATTTTATGTTCACACTTGAAACCTCTTTAAATGCTTTCCTCCTTTAGAAACTTTTTATATTCAAAATTTAAACTTGATATATGTAGGAAAAGAGTTCAACATTAATTGGTGGCAAACATTTGTATTAAAATCCCACTAATTTTTTAAAATTTTAATTTTAAACTTGATATAAGTGGGAAATTTCGAATTTTAAACTTCATATAGTGGGAAAAGAGTTCAACATTTTTTGTGGCAAACAGCTGTATTCATATCCTACTACTTTTTGCATAGATAATTGTTAGCCCTATTAATACTGCATAAAAAAACAAAAAATATTTTGTGAAAAACAAAATTATTTCGTGTATAAATAGAATATGTGTTGTTGGTTTTTTTATTTGGTAATAAGCTTCTGTGCACATGCTTTTCTCTTGTTTGTCTGTTTATCTTCTTCATCTTCTCAAACTGTTCTACTATTAAATGAACATGTAGTATTTTTCCTCTTTTTTTTTGGTAGGTCAATTGTAGAGCAAAGTCGACGGAGTGATTTTGAATTCTATCTTTGTATAGGGAAGAGGCTACCCAGATATTCCTACTAGAAGGTGTGAAAACCCATTTTCAAGTGTATAAATATGATGTGTTACTGCATATTTTCCATTTGTAATTCGCTTTTGTGCACATATTTCTTCTCTTTTTGTCTGTTTATCTTCTTCATCTTCTCATGTTGTTCTTCTGCATAATATTACCCATTATTTGTGCATTTATAGTTTTCTACTTCCCTGTCAATGCTTTCTCTTTATCTACGTTTATTACATTTATTTTACCTACTTCGTCTATGGAGATTGTGTTGTTTGTTTATCTTTCATGTTCATTGTTATGTACTTTATTAGGTGAATTGTTTATAATATTTTTATATTCTATATTATTAATATAATATACTGACACGAGCAATTTTTTTTTTTTGAATTAGTTTTTATGCTGAAGTCGGAGACACCTTGCCGGACAAAAGAAATTTGTAATTGATGAAGATGTTGTACTATGAAAAGTCCTCGGAAGAAATAAGCATGAAGTGCTGGAATAGAAGTTGCGCAAATCTTATTTTCCGGTGCTGTTGAACTATTTTTTGGTGGAGCTGTTTTCTTAGAAATTTAACTTGGTTAATTGTTTAGCCATGTTATTGCATGTATCTATATTGGTGTTTGTATTTTGGTTTAGTTGTAACCAATTTTTTTTTTATATTAAAATGTCAAGTCTATATTCCCTTTCTTTGGAATTCATGTTTGTTTCATTTAGACACTTTTTTTTCTTGATGCTAATATATGTGGGATAAATCTGTTATATACTTTGCTAAGGAAAAATAGTTCAACTTGAAAACCATAAACTTTGAGCTTTTCGTCATGTATCATAGAGCAAATTATATCATAGGATCACCAAAGCTTCAACTTAAAAAATGATATAGTCTGCCTTTGAATAAAGTTGCACTCATTTGAATTTTATGGGATAAGAAGTCTAAATCTTCAAATCCCTTTGAGCTTTGATAGCCAACGTTTGTTTATGTTTTTCTATATGTAATGTAGAAAACCTTAAAACATGCGTCATTTGTACCATATTATTTTCTGAAAAAATAAAATAAAATTTAAGTTGAAAGTATGATAACAAACTTATCAACTTAGAATACCAAGTTTTAATAATTATTTGAATTCTTTAATTTAGCTTTTTTTTAATTAGTAATAGAAGTTCTTTTTTCTTTCAATAACATTTTGTTTGCTAAAAACAAAATAAAAAATTGGTGTATTATGAAACATGTCTTAACCATGATCGTGTTTCTAATATATATATATACTAGTTAATTACTCGTGCGATGTACGAAGAAAAAAGAAATCGTTTTGTTTGTCCCATAAACGAATTAATAAAAAAATGGGTTTGTTCATATGACATAAACGCGTAACTTTTAAGGTAGGAACAAAAAAGGAATATAATAATTTAAACACAGTAAATTCAAGGATTGATAGCATAATCTCCATCAACAAATGCAAATGTCATGTTGACAGCAATATAATAAGAAATCTGCCCAACCAATACTCGCAACAATTGTAAAATTTCTTCCGCCATGCACTATTGGTATATGCTCCTGTTAGAAATGAATCATAAACAATATATAAACAATAATTGAAAAAGAAAAAATTATTGAAGGGAATTATATAGTTCATTATAGATGAATAATTCAGAATTACAATGAAAAAACCTTTTGACTCTGAAGAATGACAAGGGAATAAAATACTGATTGTGACTCGAATACTAAATGTGCATAACAATAAAAAAATTAGCAGGAAAAATAGGCATAACAACTAAAGCAATGCAACAAAGAAGATTAAAAAATATTTTCTTATAAGAAGTTGAGTTCTGACCTGATAACAAACAGCAATGTTATCTTTTTGTAGAAATAACCAAGTATACTACAGTAATCTTTGAAATACTTCATTATAGACGATGTTAAAAGTAGTATTTGTAACACATCCATCTTCATCAAGTATGAACATCTTCAATCCATGCCTGCTCTTTACTCTAGATAGTGCCACATATAATTGCCCATGAGTGAAGACAGGCCTAGGAAGATAAATTCCAGCATGAGACAGCGACTGTCCTTGACTTTTGTTGATAGTCATCGCAAACGAAACTACC